GGGCAGAGAAATGAACCATAAGGGAGGGAGGGGGGGAGGGAGGGAGGGAGAGAGGCGGAATAGGCAGGGAGATGAACAATGGAATAAAAAAACAGCACGGAAATATCATGCATGCTTTAGACCTCAACAGACGCTCATTGTAACCATCACGCACCTGGGCCTTGATCTTGCTCTTCCATGTCACTTCAACCAAGTTGATGCTGATACCATAAGCAACAACCAGTGTCGCAAGGTCGCGGATGTACTGCGAGCTAACAAGGAACTTGAAGCTCTCACCCATGCCCATCTTCTGCTTGTTCTGCTCATATCCCACAAAATAATTTACAGAGATCCCATCCGTCATGAGGAGGGTGAACTCGTCAGAGTATGAAACCAAACACACTTCTCATCTCAGATGTTACAGCCGCACAGTGGTGAGCCTCATCCTGTCATTTTCACATAACCGATCTCAGATCTCAGTCATCACATATCTTTTTTGCAAAGCTTTGATCTCACTGCCAAGTATTCCCCCCCGTTTAAGATAAAGAAAATTATTCCGCAGAAACAGCAAAGATACATCCAGAGCAAATTCTTCCGCAGAAACAACAAACATAATCTAGAGAAAATTCTTTCACAGAAACAACAAAGCAACAAAGATACATCTACCATCAGGCCCTTGCTGTAAAGAGAGACGCTGAAACCTCAGTACTCAGCAGCTACTATCCTAACCATGCCCCTACCGTTCCCAACTGGGGGTTACCTCCTAGGTTTATTGATCTTGGATGCGCTTAGACATGTGTTGCTGGGCTCAGACATGTAGGTAGGTGGCCTGAGATATATAGAGAGCAGAAAATAGCTCAGTGCTTTTTCTTTTTCTTGAAATGGAGAGAGACCCAGAGGCGAGTTTGCGGAAAGGTTCTCTGCTGGCACTGAAACTCACCTTCTTCCTCTTTACAGCATCCGGCTTGGGCAGAGAAGCATCGGTATTAAGAACGAAGGTATTGACCCACCAGTAGATCCCCATGATGATAGCACCCATTCCCACCACCAGGAGCATCATCCATTTAAGAGACTGGCCCCAGCCATCGACGCCCGGGGGCAGCTGACCGCGGAGCTGTGAAAAGTACTTGACTGTTCTTCCGGAAAAGATCAATGCCACATTGGCGCCAAGCCCAAACAACGGATAAAATTGCTTCGCTTCGTCCACCGTCGTGATCTGCCATATTCAACAACACACCCACACATAACATACAGATAACTACATCAGTGCATCGCAAACCAATAGGCCAAGCAGGAGACCATACTAGCAGCATCAGGGTGTGCTAGCATATTCATATTCGATCACTCTGCAACTGGACCAAGCAAAAGAACAGCAGTATCATTTGGGGGGTTGGAAAATCAGTCACTGCAAGAAGCCATCAAAACACAAATATTGAAAAAAAAAAACAGTTTTCAGGCCCATGTGCACTTCTAATTCCACCCATCAAGACCCCCCATGACATGCAGCTGTGCATCTCTCAGAGAACAAATCTGATCGAAATAAGAGTAGTTGGTTAGGGTTCCCCACGTACACTTCAAATTTCACCCATCAAAAACCTACAGCTGTGGACATGATTGCAGTCAGATTCATGTAGCGAGCAATACATCTAGTGAATAGTGAGCAATACATCTAGTGGACCTAATCATATAGCCACAAGAGGACTTGTTTTACTACATTAGGACATGATTGCAGTACCACACAGGCGTGCCCATAGTTGCAGTCAGATGCATTTAGAAGAGTCCTAGTGTGAGTATGCCCTAAGCTACACATTTCCCTCTTCCTTTTCTTTTCCGATTTCAACTTCCAATTTCCAAATTCTTCACTACAAACTTGGCCCAGTGCCCAAGGCTCACCAACACCAAGTTCTATCAGAAGTCCAAAAGACAACCAAAAGACAAAAAATACAAACAGAAGTATGTGTCCAAACAGGTCTCCAACCAGTGCCACACCGGTGGGAGGATCCCCATCCCTGCTGCGGAGTCCCTCACTGAGCAGGGGTGCTGTGTCCCACCAGCATGGATTTAGTTTACATCTCCCCTGTGTTCGGGTTCCTTCTTCAACTGGAGATCTCTCGGGCACACCGTGACCACATTGATAAACACTCAGACAAAGTTATCCCCCGCTAGTGGAGCTAATCAAATTGCTGAACTTATACTGTTATTTTCAATTGTTGTTGTTATTATCACTATTACTACCACCTACTCCAGCTTGCTTTGCTGTCCTACACCAACCGTTATTTTTCACACACTACACCCACCCTGATATGGGCCTCACCACACCACTGTCAAAAAAAAACGAAAAAAGTACAAGTGCATCTTCCCAAAGATAACAGCAAGATGCATCCGTTACTATAAAAAGTGACCCGTGCATCTTACCACTTTCCCACACTACACTGTGATCATAGGCCTCTTCACACCACTGCCGAAACAGAATCTACGAGTGCATATTCCCGAAGGGAGATCAGCAAGATGCATCCGCTACTATGAATAGCACCCAACGCATCTTACCACTTCCTGGGGAAGATGCACTCGTTATTTTTGCGTTTCAATTGAGTGGTTAAGCAGGCCCATTTATTTTTTCTGTTATATGAAAACTTTAAAAAAACTCAACGTGCCTGCTCTCTTCAACACTGAATGTTCCCGTTCACACACCACCACCTCTCCTAAGCAGTGAATCTTAGGCCCACTTATTTTCCTTTTTAACTACTTTTTTTTCCCCCTTTTTTTGGAAGGGGGGGTGAACTGCGAGCACTAGTCACCTACTATTTGCTCTCCGATAGGACCGCTCACACACCCAACGTTGCTGCTCAGACACAACTACCTCTCCTAAGCCACAAATCTTTTATCCGCCAGCCAGTACACAGCCCCAGCCTTGTAGAAATGAACTCAGCAACCACTGCAACTTTCTGGGCAACCGTTGATAAGTCTCATCAACGGCCTTTTGTCCCATTTCCCGCCTCTGAGACTTGACTGAGAGGCCCGCGGCCAATGTATGTACCGCGGTACTCATGGCTTAATACTGGACCACAAGTAACAACTTGACAGCAAATAAAACAAGAAAATACGACTGCACATCGATAAATTTCATCAACGGCCTTTTGTCACGTTTCCCACCTCTGAGACTTGGCTGAGAGGCCCACTGCTAATGTATGTATGGTGGTACTCGTGGCTTAACACTGGGCCACAAGTAAAAACTCGCAGAGCAAACAAAACAAGAAAATAACAACTGCACATCACTGCAGAAAATAACGACTGCAGTCTGCAGCGCTTGTGACCACAAGAGGCCTACGGTCTTCGCCCCCAAATTTCGTACCACGCAAGAGCCTCGCTCATTCCACTGAGTTAAATCGCCTGCTATCAAGATGTAAGCGACGCCGGGACCAAGTCACACGCCCGAATCTGGACGTGTTTAAGGAGGTGTGCAGAAATATCGTTGAGTTCCGTCAACGCACATCTCCACAAACTCGTCCAGATTCGGGCAGACGGAGGAAACTCCTACCGCTAATTATGGGGCTAGCGGGGCTAGCCCCCCCCCCCGTGTGTATAATCCAGCCTCTGTGCCCTTTTTGTTTTGAAGGAAGAAAAAGAATATAATCGAGGAAAAAAAAAAGCACGAGGTCTGAACGCTGCGCCCCGCCCATCGAATACATTTCGCATCATCTAATGCGCCTCGCTATATTCCACAACATTCGACTCGCATCCCGCCTTTGTTTGAACGTATCTGGACCACTCCTAGCTCCAGATGCATTTACCAAGGTATCAAGGGAGCAAGGTCCACTGCCAGAGAAGGACGCGACCTCTCGACTCTCTCTTCCCGCTCCACAGAAGGACGCGACTTCTCGACTCTCGCGTATCTCGATTGATTATTTTATTTCATTTTTTTTTAACCAATGAACGTGTCTGTGGACGTGTTTGTGGAGATGTGCGTCGACGAAACTCGACGATATTTTCTGACCTCGCTCCGCTACTCACCATATGCACAAACGACAAAACTGTGACGGACCATCTCTCGATTTATGCGTGTCACCCTTGCGCAGGGGCCATGCTACTGCCGCCCGCTACCTAGAGATAGGTCCTCGCCACACGGCACACGAAACGAAAACGAAACGAGTGCATCTGCCCACGAAAGGTGGCAAAATACACTCGCTACTATTTATAGCAAACCGATGAACCTGGACATTTTCTGACGGAAGATGCACTCGTTTCGTTTGTCGTTTCGTGTGCCGTGCGGCGACGCCCATAGACCACTGGATCCCC